GCGGCGACAGCTTGTCATAAGCCCTCACACTGCCCGAAGTATGCGCCTACAGCGGTCTGGTAATTACGTATTTTCCGGGCACACTATTCCTGATTAGACAGTCTCAAAGGGTACATCGATCCATCGAATCGAAAGCACATTCGATGTTGATAAACAGGACTACGGTAGCTCGCCAATGAATATGGCGGTGCCGCAACAATTGATGTAAAATAAAGCTGTGGTCGATGCAGCCTCGATTTCGATGAAACCCGGCTTGCGCTTCATGAATCGGACTTTCATGAGTGTCAATCAGCCTGTGGCGAAAGACAGACGCAAGCAATTTGAAGGTATTTACGTGTAAGTTAGGTGCGAAAGTTGGCAAGCAGTACCTGTACGGTAAAATCCTGCACCGTTATGGTTTACTTGAGAGCTTGTTATATTATAATCTATCCCAATATTAGCAATGAGTAGGAGATTTTCCGATGAAATTTTACTGCTTCGTCCCAGCAGCTCACAAGCCGAATAAGCGAAATCCTAATGCGGGATAGTGCCAGACGATCGTTTTGCCCAAGTGGGGCTCATTGGTGGTGCGCATTCCCTCGGTCCCCTGTGGGAACCGAAACCATGGCTTATTACAATATGAATGCAGAATTAGCAGTGGTTTATCTGATATATTAATGAAGTTAACGTGTATCTACGTGAAATATTAGAGCAGTAAATCCTGTTATCTCCCTGTAAGCGCCCTAGGTCTGTCCGCAAGCGGGCCTCAGTGGTATTGTCACGAGAACCCACGAACTGCAATCAGAACAAAACGACGACGCTTTTGGATCCGTATATTCTAAGAAGTGACTCATCTATTTACAGGTGTATTCAGTGTTAGCGATAGATCGACAAACGTTCATCCAAAACAGTGGCACGTGAGAACAATCACACACCAGGCCCAAGATTAGTTCATAAAACCGGATTACTTATTGAACACGCCATTATTGTGCATATAAAAAATCGCCCGCTACAAAAGGACGCCGGTGAATCTGGCTAGCTACGGAAGCGGAAACGGCAGCGCAGCTGCTATGCGAGGGATCCGTCTGTCAGCGTTATTCGGTTCAGTCAGACGAGTTCATCATACCGTCAACATTCTGCGTCAGTCCCCTAAGTGTACCATATAAGAAGTAAGCAGGATTAAGATTTCGCACGTCGTGCACAGGCAAACCGTGAACGTCACTGGACCGTTACAAATTTCCATTGTGAGCATTTTCCCATATGGGCATTATTTGACGTGGGTATTTTTCGGTGTAGACATTCTTCAGTGTGGGCATATTGGTGTGGGCATTCATGTCTGTGGGCTTTTGCTGTGTGCAAATTTCGTGGGTTTTCATCATAGAACCGCTAAATAGGGTCTGATTTCAACGAGGTGGAACTTGTATATCATGGTACTCTGTACCACCATATTTTGAGCATTGTTTCAAATCCGTTTGGTTGTGATCTTTGCTACTCCCTACACATTTCTGCTGCTTAAGGTGGTGCACCACCCGAAGATACTTCACCAGTCCACCTCTGATGTCGAACTTCTTGATTTAAGTTCCACTTTACCGTGTATCACACGTTGTGATCACTTGGAATTGGGAGTCGCCCGGAACTAACGTACACTACCTAGACCTGTTCGTCCGAATAGTATTCGGTACTTCGTTTCTAAACAGAGCAGTTAAAAACGACGGCTTAACAATTTACCAGTCAAACCGGTGAGGGCTTAAGAAATGCCGCATGACTAACTCCTAGTCTACACCAGTTTCTGTGTAACGTTCGTACACTTAGCAAAAAGCACCGTACGCTAGATCATGGGGTGTAAATTCATCATATCTCCTTGTGAAATAGTTCAGGATAAAGTTCGGGGAACTTGGAATCAAAAATTTGTGATGACTTACTATTTTGCGGCGTCGGAAAGATGAATACATAGAATCGAAACCAGACTGAATCCGATTCGGACAAAAACACTAACAAGCGAAAGTTTCCCAATGACTGCACGTACCAAATGTGAAGTAGGTATTTTGAAACGCAATATTCGTCGCCACCACAGGAGGTCGCCATGGTTTTGACGCGTTGTTTACTGTGAGTAAACTGACTAGTTATTCCCTGTGCGGTAAGTGCCAAGGCACTCTATCACAAGATTTTCTAAGTGGCGAATTGGTAAAAGTTTTAAGAAACCTGGTACCTATTCGTCGTGCTATCCAAGCGCGCTTCGCTACTGAGGTCCATCGACGACAGGGTCAAAAGGTTATTTGTTGATTCCCCTAGTCATTGTACTGTCCATTATTCCGCACGGTAAGTATACCTCAACCAATATGGCTTTCAACAAGTTGATCAGTCAAAGGGAGTAAAGTACTCGAAAAGCATGCCGTTGACCGGCGGCTTCAAACTCCGGAACGATGTACATCAGTTGCTATGGCTTCAGCTGGTGTGCTTGTGCTGCTTTCTACAGGCACTAACAAAGTGTGCGATGGCTTAGGCCAGGGGTCACCAAACTACGGCCCGTCAGCCGGGTCCGGCCTGCCTGCTGTACCCAAACTGTAAGGAGCACAAAACATGTGATAAAAAGTACATTTGATACCGCATGTGGCATTGTCAGTGACCTTGCACTGAACACCGTCGTGAGACATATCAGGGTTGTTAATCGTAGGGCCGTACTAACGTACTACTAGTGACCCCACATCGTCTGAACATTGATGTGGGTGATCACGCATGAAACCCATTCATTCGTGCACCCTGCTGTGTTTCTGTTTACCATACACTGTGCCACAAAATTGGGATTGGTCCGTTCAGTTGAAGGACGCGTCATATAAAACCTCACTTGTTTATACATGTCATTTTAGATCCCCATTTGGAACGAGTTGCTTGTTGATAGTACGGAACTGCGCTGGAAGCGCAAATTATTGTTTTATGCATTTTGGTATTGTTAAATGTATGCCCACCAACGGCCCCTAGTCCACTGTTTCCCCGATATTTCAAATGAACTGTTATCCTATTTGTTATCAACCTTTCCTCCTTCAAAGTCATTTATTTTAAAAAGCTACTGAGAAAATAAAAGAGAACACCGAGTGTCACGTTTTCCATTTCCTTCTTGCCGAGTTTTCGTCCTGGCTCCCAAGTATTACGCATACTGAGTATGCAGCCCACGCCGATCATTTTATTAGTTATTCGACCCGCGTTAGCCATGTTCAAAGTAATTCGGCCTGCCGTAAAAAGCTTTGGTGACTCTTGACTTAGGCGATGAAGGTCAGCCGAACACGCAGAGGAAGAGCTGCGATCTCATGATATTTCATGCGCCTGAGTCAACTGGTGCAAGTTCGCATGCACACTATGACCGCGACGAATAGATTTTGCCGAGTTTGACTAACAGACGGATGAATACGGGTTGAGAAACGAACCACCCGTCTTGGAAAGTGGATGCGAAGACTCTACCTAAGCGAGTCACTTTTGCTAGCGAAGTTAGTCCGAGGTTGATTTTATCCCTCCTCGGCAGACTGAGAATTAAAGCTACACTTTCGTCTAAATGTTCCTCACACCGGGAGAAATTCAGGTCGGCAATCACTGTTAAAAAGGCATACTGATGGGTGAGGGAGTCTCCGCATTGTAAATTTTCGGATAGTGCTCCGAGTTCCCCGAATCCGGGTCAATAGGTCGATGACGCTTCATACGTGCCCCGCAGTTCCTGTCACGGCTTGCGCGTAGCTTTCACCAATGTTTGCAGTTTAATCAACAAGCGATATGAGGTGTGCCGCTTCGTTGCTTCTTGGCAGTCGGGAGTACTAGAACTTGCTGTGACCCGATTTTATCCTGAGGTAACTATTCAGGAAGTCCAATTCAATGGCTGCTCGTACTTCCGGTGCAAAAAGACATCAAATGACCGTGGTGTTGTGCTGCCATACATTAGGTTTTCCTTGTGCGACAGACTGGTGAGCCCTTACCGAAGCGAAGATGGCACATGCGATCAACTGTGGTGCGCGATCCACCTTAGGGATGGTGAGCCCTTGGTCCGTGTATCAGCTCGCTAAGTCTCTGGACTGGATGTTGTACATCCGAAATCCTATGAGTTCTTCCCGCTTCCTGGTCATGGGTGCTTTTAATTTTCCTCAAATACTCTGGCCCGAGGTTTAACTTCTAACCGGACATTGTGCAGTGGAGGCACAGTCTGTTGAGATGACATTTGAGACTGGTGAAGCATAGCACATCTACCAGGCGAAATGCATTATATATCGCTGAGTTCCGCGGAGCCTGGATCTGATATTGACTAGATGCGAACAGCTTTTGTATGGTATTCAGGTCCTGGAGCCACTGGCAGCGAGTGAAAACTCAGCGGTCATAGCCAGTTCCGAGCTGCTGCTGCCATACTCGCGTCCATAGCAGCCATTCTCTAACTACTGGAAGGTTGGCTGCGCAATGGTCTCACTCGAGCCGGTACTCAAATGGGCTGGTAGCTACGGAATGATTATTAGTGGAAGCCTGTTTGTCCATTATAACGCGAGTGCAAAACCGTTGTGCACTTGATTCGTATCCTTAAAATATCAGAAAGCTCGGTCAGCGAAGTCACATTGGTTTCACAAGCGGTCTGGTCAGTTGGCTCGACGGCGATGTGCACTATGAAATTAATTCCTTCAGTCTGGCTTTGCCGACGATTACGAGGTGTAAAAGAGAATGCGGAATTTATGCAACAGCGATAAGCACAGAATCGCCAGCATTTCGAAGAGCAGCTTGCATCTTCCTCATAGACGGACCATAAAAGCATCTCCACTTATGTGAAACGGAGGTTGCAGCTTACAGGCACAATCGTTACTGGTAATCCGGACATGTACTGTCTCTGACGCCTGAGAAAAACGGTCGTGGTGTTGTTAACAGTTTTTGACAGAATGAAAACTGCGGATAGAAAACTTTAATTTTCTGTGTATTAATCAGAACAGAATCCTGTTCTATCACTGTGCAGTAGGTGGGAAATGAACTCTGATCTGAAAAAGCAAAATGCAACTTACTTGGCACCGATCACATTTTAGCCCCACCGCAAACGGTTTGCATTTACATTGGCCGGTTGCATCGCACTGGCTTCCCTCTGATCCGAGCGGATGACATTCGCAAGCTTCGCAACCGTGGATGCTGGTCAGGTTGAAGAAACCAGGCAAACACAGATTGCACTGACGGCCAGTGACATTCGGGCGACATCGACACCTCCCTGTTTGGTCATCACAATCCTCACCCACGGCACCGATAGAGTCACAATCGCACGGTTTGCAACCCTGAGAAACGGATGGCAGTAACTGTTGTAAAACGCGGTCCTTCAGAAACAAACAGTTTATTGGGAGAAAACCAAGCAACTGAAAATTACAGCATAGCTCGTTTACACAGCGCTTTCAGGCATGTCTAACCATTACCGGTACCAACGACACAGTGTTCCCTCTTTAGTCCCGTTAAACGACAGCCGATAACCGTCATCCAATCAGCGAAGCTTAGCACGCTGAATAGCCGAGACCGTGCAGTTCGCATCAGATCGGCTACCTCGTAAGTCCACCTAATATGCCTGCGTCATCGGATACTACTTTCATCTCAGGAAGTTCATGTTTACTGTCGATGAGTGGCCAAACTATAGAAAATACTGAACAACAGATGAGGAAGAAAACGGGGACGGTTGGACGTGCAGCCAAGCCATCACTTTTGTGTGCTTGATAGATGAGCAACACTAAGTGCCTCGCATGATAGAGCTTCACGCATAACATCCAACTCACATGAGCAGTGAGCGAATGATGGTAAGATGAGAATTGCAATTTGGATTGACAGATGACATCATTTTTGATGATGAATTCAGCTTGTAGTATGTAGATCCACTTCACCACTTCATTGTAAGCAGGAAATAACTCCGGCCCTGCTTGGTCCCAAATGCGATACTGCATGCTATCCTTAGTAAAAAGATGGGGTATGGCTGAGGAATCTAGCGGCATAGTACATGTCGATAGGGCTACAAAATAACTGAGTACAGCCGTTTAAAAAATCTGGTTTAGATTGCATGAAACTGTCCGATTTGAATATACAACAAAGGCAGTGTAAATTACCTACGATTCGGTTGTTTTATTAACCAGTAACGAACTGAGTAACTTCGCGGAACAGCTTGCTTTCACTTGCCCAGTGGCCCATCTAGCTGGGACAATTGTCCTAGCTGCTTCTAAGACAGATATAATGGTAGCTGTGGTCTTCAGTAAGAGGGCAAGAGGAACCATCGGATCACACACCGATCAGTCTTAAGTGGAGAGAACCGCGTGACAGCACGGTGCCTATAACGACAGGCTTGACTGCCAGCATCTATAAAACCTAGTACAACCAAATCCATCTATATGAACATAACATTACACCGAGCCTCTTGTTCAGGGACGAAAGGCTGTAGATTTCGTAGAGTTCCGCGTACTTGAAATCCTGCTTGACATCAAGTGAACCATGTAATCGGAGAAAGAAAATAAACTTCCTTTCTTGGATGCATTAGGAACCCGAACAATGGACGGTGAATTGCAAACATTCGTTTACACAAGAAGCACGCACATGGATCACATTATGCGCCTCAACAGGAACCATCACAAATGTAATAAAATAAGCTGTGTACGGACATTGTTTCACAGAATAGCAACTCATTGCACCAGTACCGAAGCGAAAAGAGAAGAAGAGAAGCAGGTAGACAAATCATTTGAATTCAACAGATACTCATGCTGTTTTCTCCGAAGATGCTTAAAACATTAGCCCACAAAAACCGGGTCCACGCCACTGAAAACGAAATGGGTTGTTCGGCCGTATATAAAGAACATGTTTGAAATGACTGTCAGCTTGTCCAAACAGCATCATAACATGGTATCCCACAAGACAGCCGTCACTCTGAGGAAAATATTGTCAAAACCAAAATGAAAACGGGAAGCGCAAGAACGGCGGAATGTCGCGTACAAACTAAATTGTAGAAATGGCGAAAAGTATTAAGTGGGATAAACAGCAAGGAAGTTATCAACACGGATACAGGAACACAATATGGCATAGGAGAAACATTACGCAACCCCAATGGTTCCAGTGCACGTCGACTGGAAAGAATGGAGATCCTAACCCAAGGGAAACGAAAAAATGGAGAAAGTTCTCTGAAGCCTTGTTCTCAACCGAGACTTCAATAAATATGCACATTGGCATACATCCAGGAAGCTCAGGGAGAGTAAAAGCCACAGCACGAATGAACCCGCTCCGCCATCCAGTCGATGAACAGAACAGTCAGTGTGAGCCCAGACTGCTGACCTATGCCCATTGTACCAATCAAAGTGCGCTAATTTCAACCAGGTCGTGGCAATATTTTGGCAGCCTATGGTAAAGACCCAAGCACAACTGCAGAACACAATGAACGAGCAATCAGAATAAGGCCGAATTAAAAGTCTCATGCGCTCATATAAGGAACAGAGTAGCGGCTGATGATATTCATCTTTGGATTTGCTTTCCACAAGCTCTTTATACAAAACTTCCATCAATCCTGCTGGTCCGGGAAAGCGGAATAGTAAATATGTAAAGTAAGCGCTTTTATGGACACTGCACCCATGTACCAACGGTTGCAACAATTGAGCCATTAACCCAAGATATAATGGCTAATGAGAAGCAAGCACATGTATTCTTCCAATGACTATTAACTGAACACACTGAGTTATGTTTAACCAATGACGAGGACCATTTTAGTTACTAGTGTAGGCCGTAATTTGGCAACACCACACTGGTTCCCACTCTGTTTATAACCATGTAATCAGTTCATGTCAATGTTTAAGCGGTTGCATGCAAAAGGCAGTAAAGTATTTACACCTGGAGCAGGCATCGTTTGTGTTGCCCATCAAAACATAAAGGCCGATACGGCGACACATCCGGATTGATACTCTTAATCTTTCCACTGTTCGTACTGTTTCTACCATAGATGTAGTCACTCGTGAAGTGGTACGTTGAGAGGGTGCCGTATGCAAATGTCTAGCATTAACACGTGTACTAGCTACCATGTTGCATGTTCCTGGCCTACACACAGATACCACAAGGGTAGGAGGTCCGAATTTCTTAGCCCCTTTCCTGGAACTTGGCAGTTTCACACGAACTACGGTCTCCGTGGAGGAAGTTGTTCCAAGTCGCCTGTACTTAGCTTGGTAAGCATTTCGTCTTGCATATTCAATATGACCAGTAGTTTCTTTGAATTTACAGGCGTCATTTAACCGGGTTTGAATTACGCTTCCCAGCATCAGTTCTACTGGAGTTTCGGCCGTTGCTGTGTGTGATGTGATTCTGTAGGTAGCCAGAGTTGACACAATTGTATCCTCACAAAATTCCTTTGAAAGCCGAAGGACTTGCATAAACTCCTTCAGAGAGCGATTTAACCGTTTAACTACTCCATTAGCAGCCTGGTTTTAAGGAACCGTTTCGGCATGTTCGATACCATTGTTCCGAAGGAAATCGGCATAATCGCCACTTCGAAACGGAGGCGCAGTATCAGTAAGAAGTACTTTCGGCACCCCATAACTTGCAAGCAAATGCCGCAGCCACTTTATAAGGACATTGGTAGTTATGTCTCCGAAAAGAATAGCCACTGGCCATTTGCTATAAAAGCAGGTGGCAACCAGCGCGTTTCGTTTCTGAAAAGGTAAATTGGCAAATTGATCCATAACATCGATAGCAATTTTGCTCAGGGTTTCATTGGATAGTCTATGGGATGACTTGGAGCCTACAATGGCTTCGCGCTCTTGTCGGATTGTTGGTAAGCATTACACTCTCGAAATGCAGCGTCAACACTGGAACTTATTTTCGGCCACCAGTAATAGTCGCGTATTCGGGCCTGCATTCGCACAGTACCAGGATGATTCTCATGCGTACATTCGATCACCGCTAGAATGACTATGAGGAAGCATAAGCTGCTCGTCTCGCATAACGCAAATGCCCACTATGGCAAGCTCGTGGCGAAGTGTAGCGTATAGCAACAACTCGGGTTGGATTCTGGTGTGGCTAGGCCACGCATTAGAAAAATACTCCCTAATCTTCACTCGGCTGGGGACTCCGTCACTATATTCGCGTATTCAGAAATTCTTTTCACCTCATGGAAGTCGTCGTTCTCCTCTGGAAAGTGCATATGCAACCTGGTTAAAATCCGCCGGTAAGTATCTGTTTGTGACCCTTATTACCACGGTTCGGTAGCGTCGTAAGAGCAGTGATCTGTAGGCAAAACGAATGGATGTCCGAATATATAAATGTGCCACTTATTACATTCCTAAATGCAAGCCAGAGCTTCTTTCCACCAGTAGAATAATTCCTTACAGTTTCCGACAAAGTTTGTAGAGCATAGGTTATTACTTTAGCTTCGCACTTGTGTAACTGGGACAAAACTACCCCTGAACCAACACCTGAACCCCCTTGTTAAAAGGAATGTCAAATAATACTCTTTGAAGATCGCTACCGGAGGAGTCGACGCATCCCTCGTTCGTATGGCCCTATAACCTTCCTCTAATTCATTAAGCTAGTGGAATTATTGTTTTTGACGCGTCAAGTGTCTCAGCGGTTCAGTGATGGTCGCAAAATTGGGCACATGTCGAAGATAGTAAGAACAGAGACCCAAGAAACGCCTCGTTTGTGTGTTGTTGCATGGTTTATGGCAGCCAAGGATAGCTCTGGTGTTCTGAATAGTTGGTCTAATACCACGAGTATAAATCACATTCCCAAGAAAATCCACTTCAGTGACGGAGAACTGACACTTGCTAGTATTCAAGCAAAGATTGAGCTCCTTCAGCCTAAGCAATACGTTGTGGAGATCTTCCTCATGTTCAGTAGTGTTGCTCCCAAAAACACAAATATCTTCCATGTAAACAATACAACCTTTGAGTTCGGATAAGGATAAGGTGACGAATTTTTGCCAAGTGGCTGGTGCATTGCTGAGGCCCATTGGTAACAGTTTGTACTGAGACAACCGTCTTGTGTGAGAAATGCAGTCAACTGTTGACAATCGGGAGTCAGTGGTATGTGGTGGTATGCACTGCGAATGTCTCGTTTCGAGAACAGCCTAGCGTTGAAAAGCCTGGCCATCAGCTCATCGGTAGAAAGAGGTGGGAATTTGTCCACAATTATTGTTTGACAAACATTCGCAAATCGGTACACACACGTACAGATCCACCCTTATTTTGAACTGTAGCAAGAGGATGAACACACACAGAGCATTGCATCGGTTTCAAAGCCATTATGTATACCTAAACCTAGGCCCGTATCCATGGCAAAACTTGAGACTTTGTTGAAAACTTTGGAACAAATAATCAACGACAGCCTGATCGATCCGACACAATGCTCTGAGTGGGCTCACCTTCCTGCTACAGTTCAAAATAATGATGGACTGTAATCTGTCTACAAACAAATGCGATGTATCCCCTTTGAAACTTTACCAATATCCAAACTGAAAAGGTCTGGGTAGCTAGAATGAATTGAATTTGGACTGGCATTGGCAGTTGTCATTCGGTTGACATTGGGTGACACACTGTTCAAAGAAAGATTCATAGTATTTCTAGCTGCATAGTAGCTGGCTGGTAGCTTACCGGAACGATGCCCATCCGTTAGTGGTAGCTCAGCTGGCTTGCATCTGTTGCATTTTTCCGTTCTTTTCTTCAATGTATTGCAGCACAGTAGCTGAGGTGTTTCCCGCCTCTAGCTAACGTGTATGATGATGATGATGAGGATGATGATGATGATGATGATGATGATGATGATGATGATGATGATGATGATGATGATGATGATGATGATGATGATGATGATGATGATGATGATGATGATGATGATGATGATGATGATGATGATGATGATGATGATGATGATGATGATGATGATGATGATGATGATGATGATGATGATGATGATGATGATGATGATGATGATGATGATGATGATGATGATGATGATGATGATGATGATGATGATGATGATGATGATGATGATGATGATGATGATGATGATGATGATGATGATGATGATGATGATGATGATGATGATGATGATGATGATGATGATGATTGTACCAACGTCACTAAGCCTAAACTAAGTACGTCGTACGAAAACTAAACTAAAACTACGAACAGATAAACCTAGACTTAACGCACGGTCTGGGCAGAAGAAGAAAACGTATTATCCTGTAACCGTGGTTCTATAAGGCATGATAAATACAGTACATGACTTACGAATAGGTTTCGCAATCGTAATGCAAGTGGGCGGAAACTGTCCAGCGTGGGGCGGATCGAGTATTTGGGCAGTGTCACAGTAACATAAAAATAAAATGACCTTGAAACCTCAAGGATGTGTCAGTGATGGAGTGTAAGAAATAAATATGCGATATGTGAACCGCTTGTAAAACACAGAAAAGCAGTGTAAATTTGCAAGATAATCAGGGAAAAGAGATACCGTGTCCTCAGGTAAGCAATCAAGTTTGGGGATACATCAAAGTTCCTTTTGGACTTTACAATGATGATGATGATGATGATGATGATGATGATGATGATGATGATGATGATGATGATGATGATGATGATGATGATGATGATGATGATGATGATGATGATGATGATGATGATGATGATGATGATAGGCGACACATTTAATAAAACCAGGTCGTTCCGTCCCAACAGGGGTTTACAGTCGGTCTTAGAAACGTACCCTTGAACTGCACATTTTCTGCTGTCTTTAAAAGTTCTGAAACAGTAACGAAGCCCAGAATTCGCACAGCACCATTGGAGTAGCTGCTGAAAGTGTACACTGACTAATGCACGATAAAAAACTGCTTTTAAAAACTGTATGGAACGACTGTAATGGGAGACGCAGAATGTAGTTCCACATCTAATTGAATGTTGTTGCTATGCACTTCAAAAAGTGCGAATATCCGGGGAAGGTAATTTGGTCTCCTTAGTAGAACAAGAAATCGAGTATGTACCCTTACAAATGTCAAAGACTTTTGCTCAACGCTGGCCGGGGAAGCCGAAAAGTCAATTGTAGAGGGGTCTGGAAGTGAGACGGTGCGGGAACGACAGAATATGGTAGAATGTCTGGACTTACCGCAGTTCCGTTAAATTTCATTCTTGGCGGGACATATTTGACTATTTGAGCAATTGGCAGCCTTCTACAGCGGTATCAATTGCCTCCACCTGAGGATATCTAGCAGATGGTGACGAATTCAAGCGGTTGCTCTCGGTAGACGAAAGAGTGAATCGAAAAATTCTAATTTACTCGCTAAATTCGATATTCGCACGAGCTATGACGCACGCCCGGTCCCGCGAGAGCTTGCTGGCGTCATCTATTGGAAAGCTTCCTCTGATCCTAGAATCGAACAGGCCGAAGATTAGTTGCTGTATAAGCATGGTTTCTCCAGCTTCTTCTTGGAACACTGTCATAGTCACACGTTAAAACAAACATACAGTACGTGATGTAAAGTCGTACAAATGCTCGCTTCATCTGGGTGAATTGGTACCGGGAAGCGTGTGTGTTCATACGTGCTTCTCAGTGCCAGTTGATGATGTGGCATAAAGGCATGAAGAAATCGACCGAGAGGCTTAGTCAGGCTAGTGCGTGCCGTTTTCATGGATCGGGGCCTATGAATTATCCACAGAAATAGTAGAAGACCTTAGCAGACACAGTGCAGTCGCGCAGTCAGTGGCATTCCTGCTTTCGGTTTCTTGGAGTTAACTGTTAATCTTTATTCCAACCCGATTGGTTCTGCGCTTCTCCATGCTGATTCCATTTGCTTCGAATTAGGTTTGCATTCAAGTTCTTTTTCTTACCGCCGCTATTTATTGTTATTCCGGCGGCGTGAGTTGCAGTAACTGGATCCACCATGCTTTGGTGCCCGGATTATTGTTGTTTAACTGAAATGAACTGTACGCGCCAATGCTTATCTAGAGCGATGAGGGCGTCTCTGAAGGGGGCTTCTCGCGAAGATTCAGAACGTCAAATATATGCCGACCTTTGGAACCGAACTGCAACCGCATAAACTGCAAATCATCCTCTGACTATAACATCCCAAATTCCCTGAGGATCGGCAAAACGGAAATTAAACCCGAAAGGTAATTTCCCAACCCTCTCAACATTCTGACGTTGGGGTAGTTGCAGGATCAGTGCAGAAATGAGTAGAGGCTGTGTTGTGTGCAAACACTGGTAGCACGCAACTCCAATTTCTCGTGTCCGTGAAAACAGTACAGTAAATAAGTCAAGTATGCGAATGTATGGACATTGTGTCCATGTAATAGCGGTTGCAACAATTAAGCCATTCACCCAAGACATAGTAGCTACTCAGAAGCAATCACATGCATTCGTCCAAACACCATGAAGTGAAGATACTGAGTCATGTCTAATCAATGACGAGGACCGTTTTAGCTAAGACTGTAGTGCGTGAGCTGGCAACACTACAAGGATGTCACCTAGTATATTGATGAAAAGTCAGCAAGCGAGTTGCGCAGCTCGACAAACACCACAACAACTAAAAGAGGGCTCCGTCTATTGGAGTAAAGCAGTTCAGAGGGCACAAGGCGCACGACTAAAATTATGATGAAACACTCAATGCAAGCATGGGAAACTAAGTAGAACCAAATCACCATGATAAAGAGTGCCCTTTTAAGGCATGGAAAATTCACCTGTCCAGAATGGAATCCATAAAATCCTGGGTAGCAACGTTCACATCTCAGTCCTCCAACTCCTGGCTTGCATGGGCACTGACCGGTCTCCGGGTTGCAAACACCGATTTCACTAGACTCATAACTGGCCAGTGTACCCACAGGGTCACAGTGACACGGACTGCATCCACGAGCAGGAAGAAGCTTCTCTTCGCCACCAGCTGTTGTGTTGACTGGTTTGAAGTTACGGCGATGGCCTGGTAGACACTTTTCGCAATGCCTTCCAGTAGTTCCAAATATGCACTTCAAACATTCACCGGTAGTTCTGTCGCAGAGGATAGTAGAAATGGGTATGTAAAGCCATGACAAAGTTGAATTCGTATTTGGCTGATATGGTTAATGAAATTAATGAGTGAGTTTAACAGAAATCGTCATCAGAAATATACAGCACGTTCTAACTCAGCGTTTTAATGCAGAACGGGCTCCAGTACACTACTGCCATTTATAAGTCGGGGCATATAGTTTAGCCTTAAAAATTATTCATAGCTTATTTGTGTAGCGGAATTTTCATCCTCTCCTGTTCAGTGCTGAGCTGTTCCTTGTCTGGACACTCCGGTTGAAGAACTTTGATGATGCAGCCAGTTATTTCCTCCTTCATTTGTTGGTGACAAGGTTGGATAATACAATTAAAAAACGTTTTAAGCACATCGGTGTCCTTCAAAGAATCTAACCCGTGGAGCGAATTGCGCTGCATCGAAGGATTAAAGAATATGGTGATGCATCCTGGAACCGTCTCTGTCCCTCTATTGCCCCCTCACCAAGGTCCTACTGCAAACCCGCTTCATTTTCCTTTAGTTTTCTACCCCGCCTGATTTGGGTGTCCAGTAAGACGTTCCAACACATCAACAACAACATAAACAGCAGTGTATCAGTCATTTGGACTGATGTTTCGCTGCCGTACAACCATAGTGAGGTAAGGAATAAGAAGTGATAAGGGAGAGTGGGGGGTCTAGTACAGAACCGTAACACCTAAGTAAACATTTAGTGTCAAGGTGCCCACACTTTGTCAACAAAGTGTGTGGCTAGCTATCATGCAAGTAGATGGCAGCGTTGGCAAGACAGCTTGTGCGAGGAAGATGTCAACTGGACACACGTTTTGTGACAATTCTCAGTTACTGCCTTTCGTTTCGATATCGTTGTTTCCTGACATGTGTCTAAACGCATCATTTCTTTAAGTTGATTGGCCAGCGTCCGTTGTTTTTATTGGAGGTGTGCTCAGGGTTCCATCTCTAGTAATACCGTTTTCTCGGACACGCCTGATTGGCTCTTACTTTTATCGTTTCTCACTCACCTGTGTCATTCGGCGTCGCCTATGTTGTTGGTTGGCCCCGATGTACTTTAGTAGTTTTGCTTGTACCGCAATTTACCCTATACAAGGAAGCAGTATCTACATGCGTACAATTCTGTCCTGGCTTGTCTACCGAGTTCTCAATGAGGTTGTGAGGTGCAACCAGTCGATGGCGATCCAACAGCTTTCTTGAGGTCGTCAATGCTCCGGGTCAGAATAAGTATTACTCTGTAGATAACTCAGCGACAAACACACTTAAACTGTCGCTCAGACTGGGAGACGACAGCAAACGCGCCACTAGTGCTGATTACGAGTCATGTCCTGTAACGTCTCAATTAAAACACAAGGCGGGTCAAGTGGTCTGCAGCCTGGAAGGTTAGACGGACCAACATTACCCAGTTTTTTACTCAGTGACTCCCTGTCAAGTCAACTTTTGCCCACCCCGAGCCTTGCGCCACCTTAGATCTGTCAAGGAAAATAAGGCCCTTCTCGGTAAACGGTGACCATGCATACGTAGTACGTACCCAAGCCAATGCGTTTTTCAGTGCTGTCTGTTGTTATAAGAAATTAGTCTGATTATTATTGCCTAGGACTTGACTAGCTACACCGTTGCGGACACGCTAATGCCGTCCGCCGCCAGCAATGCTTCGCATGCAGCGATAATCAACTACTTGAAGGCGACTCAGATCGAGGGGCCAAATATTAGTTCCGTGGAGTAAGACGGTCCTTGCTGTGACCTTGTAAACACGGACTTTCGGACAGAGAAAACCTGTTTTGACTCCCCAGATATCACAGATTCGAGGACGCAGTTCCTCCTTATCAAGGGTCAAGCGATCATCAGGTGGCTTGTGGTCCTGCGACAACACTGCATTTTGGAGGTGCGAAGGGTATGCCAAATAATGGGAACACTCAAGGTCGACTGCGCCAACGCAACATAGTTAAACAGCAGGACAATTTCGTTCGCATAAGCAAGAGCAACAACATTTCCACCAGACAACACTTCAATGCCACTATCGCGAGATTTCGCAAGGGAACACCCTATGATGGAGTACACGACGAATTTGAGCAAACATGGAGAATTTGGACAACCCTGACGAACGCTACTTATGATTGGAAAGATAGCGGAAAAGGGACCGTGGGCCTTGACGCGACCTGTGGTGTTCGATGACAGGGCACACCGGTATTGTTGGTCAGCGACACATGTGACGCTACCACCTGCCGCAGAGTGAATATGTGGTCTACACAGCCCCCGGCCTCGGCGGAAACCTTGCTCTTTCCTAGTCCCGGATTCCTGTTCGGCAGTGAGACGACAAACGAGAAGTGATGGAAGTTATTTTGTCACCACTGGTGTTAGGCTAAGACCCCCGAGGTTAGTACAGTCAAGTCAAATTAAGCCAAGCCAAAATGAGCTTTATGAGCTCTAATGGGTTCATGTTCAGTATTTACATCACCACTGCGGACACCAGGATGATAATATCAATATAAATGCTTGGGTAGAGAAGTAGGAAAGAAGCAGAACTGCTACTCCAACAACCGCTCGTGTAGCATGTCATTGACTTTTGCTGTGTCAAAAAGCAAACGTGAGAGATAAGGCAAACCAGTATTACGATACCATGACGTGCAGGAGAATAAAATTCTGAAATTCGAATGAGTAGAAGAGAAAGAGAGCTTTTTGGAAAGATCATTGTGAAGGGGATGAAATTGATCAGTTAGTAGCTTAGAAGAAATGATCAAATCAACTAAAGAATCTCAAGACAAGACGCTGTATCTAGAAATGTGCTTTATAGATCGCATTAATAAAATGCACTCTTTCTGTAACAGTCCAGAAAAATGACAGGTGAACAACAGTCGGTGCAACTACTCTTCTTGTATATTGCAATTATGATCGATTCGCGTCACTTAGCTGTGAAGATCCTGTCTTCCAAACCTGGCGCATGTAGCCCCTCCTGGCGCATGTAAATAGTGCGCTCACCTTATCCCTATTCGAAAAGCATCTTTATGATACGCTGATATATTTACACTAGGTGATATAGTCCATGACCAGCAGATGTTGGCATTAGTGCCGAACAAATACCGGGCGGTGTCATGATCCAGTTGAACTCCAGACAGGAATACTCACACAGTTGCTAATGCAAATCCCTTGGTGAATCATGTATCTCGAGCGTTTTTTTCATCGAGACTGTTGTTTTTATCTTGTAATTTTCGTCCCAACCATCCTATGGAACTTGTCAAGCATTCACTTTTATATCCGTCATAAACCATTGCTTCATCGCTTCATCTGTTGAAGTTATGGGATCAGCACCCTTCGGCCTTCACAATAATGCACACGGTGAACCAACAGTTGTTTGGGTCTAGCTATTATCATGATGTAATTCGGAGGAACCTGTTTACCATTATCTGATGTAACGGAGAGGGGGTCAGGACAACCGGGTAACGCTGATGACATCTGGAGTGATGCGTCCCCAACGACGGAGCAATCAACATCAAGTTGTACGGAATTCGTGCATAATATCTCTCTTTCAGTGCCGATCAGGGTGACGTAACAGGGAGTAAGTTAGGGGTTCATGAAAGTGCGGTGCAGTCGAATTCGGTCGCTCCTTGTTGACATAACGAGTAACTCCACTCGGCTGCTGCACCCTCACACAAAGATTCAGACAGCACCGGTTTCAGCTAATAGTTTCGATAGGTGCAGATCTGAAACAGCACAATCCAATTTTCATTGACGCAACCCTTTCGTTAGAAGACTTGTTCCATCGTCCTACTCTGTCCACCTCGTGTAGTCCGACTGCAGATACCAAATGGCGTCCCACAGAAGTATGTGTAACAGCAAACACATTGTCAATGATCGTCGCACTGGTAAGTCACATCCACATGAACAAATAGGTTATATAGTAGGAGCGCCAATATGGGAGTGGATGTGACATATATCCAGATGGATGCTGTATACAAATAATGATTGAACGAAGTAAGTATTCATATACTCGGCAGCTGGAGGGAAGTACAGACCAACAAAACTTTTCGGCATTAAAGTCACAAGGATGCAATGGAGGTGTGTCGAGTGTATTTGATCTCCCCGAATATGCCTTGGCGCAGTCTCAAACTGCAAGTGGTTGGCTGTGAATAGGCAGCAACTACGCATTCACCGATAAAAAGCGGGATCCTCGCTCTGCTAGAGGCGTGTGGCCATGATATTTAGCCAATACTGTCAAGGGGCACACGCAGATTGGCCGCGACATTCGTGGCCCCACTCTAGTTCCGTAGAAAGGGGGGTCGATTAAGCCCGTAAAAGTATGATACCGTAGAGCTTCGTGCCGCAGTGAGTTCCGCGACTTTCACTGATCGGATCACGAGTTATGCACCTCAACGCACGTGCTGCTGTGTTACGCGAGTAGGGAGTGGGATCACGCCAAGTGCAGTGAAGGTGCGAGGGAAGTAAATTTAACGGCAGGTACCAGGTAGCGCGGATCCATATGGTATTATTCGTCTCGGTAGACGCGTTCCAATCCACGGGTTCCCGTGGCAGTGATGCTCGATACCTAGGGCTGAAACCGCTTCCTGAACTGGTTAGGAGTCGGGCTCCGCACTGCGTCCGTCATTAGGGCTGATTGTACTCCCGCTAGTTCGATTAGATTCCTCCCCTGCTACCTCATCATGTATAGCAGTATGATTGCAGCATAATCGTTTCCACTATTTTCGCATCTAACTATTTTACTTTGAGCATACTGCAGTACGATAGCGGATTCGTGTTTCCTTGTTACGAAGTATTTTCCAGATAGTGAAGGGGTAGGTGCTAAGCGATCAAGAAGCAGAACTCACATTCACATGCCCAACAGAAACATGTGGGGAACGGAGGGGTCTGAGGGAAGCCAGATACCAACGCAATCTTAACGGTAGGTCAGGGTTCAAGCTTAGTGCCTAATAGGACTTTGGTCGTAATACTTCTACACAATGTTATCAAATGCAATATTGTACTAACTTGCGACTAATTGCCGACGTCTCGCCTGTGGACGCCTTGCAATTTGCATCAGGTTCATTAATCTACTCTACTCAGCATTAAAGCAGACAAAAGAGCATGAAGAGGGAGCGAGTTTTAATTCAGAAGCAATGGTGCTTACCCATCACAATTTCCGAATTCCCGAGGGTCCACGTTATCTGAGCAGTCACAAGGATTGCAGGATATTCCTCTCGTCGGATCTCCGTAGAAATTCTCCGCGCACCTGTCGCATCTAATGCCTAAAACAGGTATAAAGATTCGAAGCACAGAAATCGCAAGGAGACCAGCGCAAAGCTGTCAACATGCTGGAAAACAAATATTGCCTAAGAGGGCACCTGGTCACGCAGAATACCAGTAAGTAATCGAAACCACTGACCTCCCGGTCGATTTCTCCCAGCCGAAATTGCTCTTCAAGAAATAGGTCATTTTAGGCAAAGGTAGGTAGTTAAATTTCCAAAACAGCGTAATTGTAGACTAACATATAAGGTGATGGAGTTGAGAAAAAATTGCAAAACGGCCGTTTGCAGAATCGCACTAAGTGACTACAATTTATCTCTTGATAATTGGCAATCCACTAACCTACGGAGTGTCTGTCCACACTGATTTAAAACACTGTGGGAGGCAAAACTCCTCGATGGGTATCTATTGCGCAGCAAAGTTGATATGGATACCAGCGAGGTAACATTTCGGCTTTCAAGTTGTCGCAGTGGTCCATCAAGTTTCATACTAAGCGTAAAACGGTTTGTCGCTTTAATAAAATGTAAGCTTATCAATGAAGCTCATCATAAACCTCTGCAAATGGTAAGCATTGGTGTAGACCTATTGAAAACTTCTTAACACGGATCCACAACTAGTCTATGTAAATGTTAGCAGTAAGATAGAGCCGTCAGTTCACGATCAACCCAAAACTGTATACCAACCTAGAACAGCCCAAATAAATGTGTTTTGGCGCGAAGTAGAGCCTGTACCTGACTAGTAAGATGTCGGTCAAAAGAGGCCGACAGGAGATTTGGTAGGCTGCTGAACGAGTGCGGATGAATAGCGGTACTGGGCAATGACAAATAATACCACTAGAAAATTGATAAGGCATGTTAAGTTGAATTATGAGGGGTGATTGACAGTATCGATTGGGGGCTAGGCTACAACAAGTAATCAAAAAGCTAAGCAGTTACACGGACTGCACAAAATTATGAAGAACAACGCAGACCGTTACCGCTTCGATGCTAAGTTAAAAACTGTAAGTTGACAAGAAAGTAGTAAGGGGTTGCGTGGTATGAATAGACATTCCTCACATTTAGACTCCTTTAGACAGCCATCCCATGCCCAAAAAAGCAGTGTACATATGTTTCTTACTTAGGAGGACCTACAGCAGTGCACACTTCAGCTGGCCTCTGTGGAGCTGCAACCCGCAACCCGGATTGTTACCGGTCCCGATTAAGACCATTTGGCTACGGGGTACCGTAACGACTGAAGTGATATAGCGGCCCTCATTACCCACTGACTCCAGGTTACTGCATGCAAAGGAGAGGTTGATGCCTTTAGACAACAAATTCACCAAACATAAGCCGTCAATTTGCATATGACATTAAAAGCCTTTCGGTCAACTTACTGATCACGAGGGGTGCTACCACTCTTCGAGCTTAGTACCATCATAACGACTGTGCACCCCGTCCCCCAAACAACATTTAACAGTCTGCTGGAGACGGTAATTGTGTGTGGGGGGTTCAGCATGGATGCACAAAAGCAGAGCCAGGGAGGGAGTGTTGGTGTAGGCGTACGTCCGACAGACACACAGCTAGTCCACTTTAGCTTGAATGCAACGACATATCACATCATATGCTTCATCATCGTAGCAAGTGCCCAAGCCAACACAACTTATTCAGTGCTATCTGCTGTTCTAGGGAGCTAGCATGATTATCACCACCTAGTACTTGCCTACACACATCATCGTTGCGGACACGCTGGTGCCATCGGACTCCAGCAATGCTTCGCAGACAACGATGATCAAAAACTTGAAGGCGCCTCAGATATTCAGACCGAAGGGGCCAAGTCTCACTACCATAAAGCAGGACGGCCCTCACTGTGGCCTTGTATACCCGGCGTTTCAGACGGAGGGAAATTCCATTCTGTCGCCAAAGATCTCGCAGATCCAAGAAGGCAGCTCTGGCCTTTGCAATGCGTGAACTGACGTCAGTTTCTATGCAACCATCGTTGCTGATGCAGCTGCCAAGATAAGCGAATTGATCAACCACCTCGAGTTCCTCATCAGCAAGAGTCAAGGGGTCATAAAGTGGCTGGTGGTCCTGCAGCAACACTGCACTTTGAAGGTGCGAAGTGCATGCCAACTAATGGGACCACTCTAGACAGGCCATTCAAGGTTGATTGTGCCGGCGCAACGTCGTCGAAAAGCAAGACCATATCGTTCGCATAATCAAGATCAACTAACCTTTCACCAGGCAGAACCTCAACGCCTACATCGTGAGATTCCGCAAGGGAACATTCCATGATAGAATCCGCGACGAAATTGAACAAAAATGGGGAAATCGGACAACCCTGACGAACGCCACTTGTGGTCGGAAAGCTATCTGACAGGTCACCGTAGACCCTGACGCGGCCTGTAGTGTTCGAGTATAGAGCACGAAGGATGTTCACATATTTCGTGGGAACACCCTTCCGCGCAAGTATTTCGAACAGAATGCATCGATTGACTGAATCGAACGCACTCTTGAAATCGAGGAACACAACTGTTGTGGGTCTTCGGTATGCGTGGCGCTGCTCTAGCACCTGCCGCAAAGTGAATATATGGTCCATACAGCCACGTCCTGGGCGGAAAGCGGCCTGCTCTTCCCTAATCCGAGATCCCCTTTCCGCAGTGAGGCAACGAGCGAGAATCGAGGTCAGCAATTTTGTCACAACTGGTGTTAGGCTAATACCCCTGTGGTTAGAACAGTCTGTGCGACTGCCCTTCTTGTATATTGCCACGATAATCGATTTGGTCCAATCAGCCGGGACACTCTTCCTTCCAGATACGTTCGAATAGGGAGGTCAGCGCTTTGTAGAGGACCTCACTTCCATCCTTAAATAGTGCAGGTGGGAGGGAATCCGGGCCAGCGGCGCGAAAACGATTAATGGCTGTGATCGCGTTTCGGACCTCGGCCTCCGACAGAGGCTTTAAGCTAACCGTCCATGGCACGTCCTGCATCACCTGAGTAGGAAGAGGTCTGAGAGTAGAAGGCCAGCTGAACTGATCTTGAAAGTGTTCCGCCCAACGAGCGATACGGCGCTCCTTATTGTGTATCAGTGCACGCGCGCTGTCTCTGCTTGTCCCACTGACGCCTGGTTTTCTGGGACCAGTGGTGCGGATTAGCTGGAAGAGCTTGCGGTAATTGCTTACTGCTCCTGCCTCCTCCATATTTTGAGCCCTACTGGTCCACCAGGCTTCCTTGTCAGCACGTAGGCTCTGCTTTAGTTCACACCTAATAGCCCGTCTGGTCACATTGTGTTCAGGGCCAGCCGGGAGGAGTCTTCTAGCTTCCAACAGGTTCACCGACCTTTCGGATATCCATTGGCTGGTGCGGTGACGACTGATAGTGCCACAAACAGATGCTCCTGCGTCGTGCATGGCGGCCGAGATCCTATTCCACTGAAGCTCAGTGTCATTAGAACAAGACAGCGAAACTTCGATATGCAGTGCGTCTTGATAGGCTTGCATTGCCGTGGGCTGAGACAATTTCTCAGTTGCCAGTCGGAGGAGATGATTGGTGAGCCTCCCGGTAAAGTTCATAGAAAAAAGGACAACGTACCAAAACATGATCAGAGTCGCCGCAGATATTCCAGTACGAGCGGCAATTCAGGATGGAACCACGCCACCTGTAACTTATGGCTATGTGGTCAATTTGGGTCAATCGCTAGCCAGCTACAGGAGGACGCCAAGTGGCACTTCGACGCCAACTGTGTCTAAAAGCAGTGTTACTAAGAAACAACTGGTGCTACGCACACAGTTGCAGCAGACACTCACCGTTGTCAGTCCGTTCGGAGTTATGACCATAATTACCATCCAGCTGAGCTTCTGAAGAGCTCAGACGCCCTACTTGTGCGTTCATGTCCCCTGCAAGTACTATACTATCCGAACTAGTAGCACTGCGTAGTAGCGCGTTCAGTTCGTGATAGAATGTATCCTTGACAGTATTAGAACTGCAGTCGGTGGGAGCATAAGCGGAAATCACAAACAAACAGCGTTTTGTATTACTTCGTGAATCCACAGCTGATGTCGTCAAACGGACTGCACATAAACGGCTGTTCACCGGAATCCAATCAACCAACGATGGCTCAGTCTTGGAGCTTAGAATGATACCTACATCAGCTTGACCCGTGAGTGTTGCATCGGCGTCTCCGGATGCGTGCAACCAATAGCGAGAGGAAAAGCCGGGCGCAGTTAATTCAACAACCCCATTAGGGTCATTGACCCTAGTTTCGGATACACAACACACATCAATATCCAGTATGTCCAACGTGCGTGCGAGTGCAGCCTACTGACCAATTTGTCTTACAGTGCGAACGTTGAACGTCGCCATGGAAACGGGACAGTGTGGCCTTATAAGGGACTGTTGCCGATAGGCTTCCCGTGCGTGTCGCGAGAAGGTGACTGCAGTTGGTTCTACTCCAGTGGCACTTCGGTTGCTGTCAATTAAGCTGGGAATTATAGAAGGAAGATTAGTAATGGGGGTAGGGATGGAAGTAAGAAACAGGTGGAAAAGAAGGATGGAGGTGCCAACAGTAGCATGTTTTCGCTTATCCGCCCTGATGTATGTAGCAGATAAGGCGACGCTTGATAACCTGCGCGACGGCCGATGCAGGATGCAGTTTATGTTTGAAGAAAGTCATGGTTGTATGTGGGCAGAGATACTGCCAGGAAGTCCAGATCTAGACAGGAGGACGATTAGAGTCCTCATCCAAAGCCTTTGGCTCAAAAGCCTATCCGCAAGGCAGCGGTGAGGTGGCAATGATTTATTTTTACAAATGGATGCCATCCCATTTCAAACCTCCAACCTGGAGGACCAGGAGACTAAGTTTGTCTGACCTCTCACCATTGACCAACCTGGTAGGAGTAGCTCTCGAGGGCCCCGGAGGCACCACGCAGTATAGCGCAATGAGTCAAGGAGGTACGCAAACCGTCGCACCATGTTAATTTCCAGTCTCGTGGCGGGTACGCAGGCGGGGGTGCAGCTGACTAGTGAGA